CAAGTGCAAGGCCCTTAGTTCAAACCTTAGCATTGTCAAAAAACACAACCAAACCCCACTCCACCCCACAAAAAACCATATATATATATATATATATGCACCACCCCTACTCATAGAGAAATGACAATGAATACTATTAGTACCCACATTTTTACTAAAAGGAATGAGGTTTCCTTGGAGAAATGGATGAGATCTGAAGTCTGGAGAAGTAAATGAACAAGGGGTATGCAAATACACCTGAAAGCAAGCAAGTTACCAAAACTTACTATGGTTTTATCAAAAGACATAGCAGCCAACTTGAAGGGGGTATCCACTAAAAATGGGACAGTTTTGAAGTATTTAGGAAATGACTGTTAACAGATTAAAACATATCCAAAACAAACATCTGTTATTAAATGTCATTTTAACTTATGCCGAAAACTGATAAATAAAAGGGAGGGCAATCTACCATTTTCCCTCTCATTCCTCTTTGGACTGCATTTTCAAGGAAGCCAAACAGATGCTGTGTTGAGTATTTTCAAGATAGGGTGTCTCAACAACTATTTGTCTGGGGTGGCTTTGAACTGACATTCTCCTGATCTCTGCCACCCAAGTAGCTAGGACTATAGACTTGAGCCACAGGCTCCTGGCAAAAGACAGTTTGTTTGTTTGCTTTTTGTCATTACTGGAGTTTGAACTCAGGACCTCATGCTTGCTAGTCCCTAAAGGGGACTTTCTTAGAAATACATTCTGAAATCTACAGATGAAATGGCATGACATCTAGGATTTGCTTTAAAATATTTAAGTGAACAACATACATGTGATATAAGGGGGTACAGAAAAATAAGAACAGCAAAAAACTGACCATTATTGAACTTGGGAATGGATGCCTGGGGTTCATTATTTATTCTACCTTGTTATGCTTGAAAATTTCCACAATAAAAAGAAAACCTCATCAAACACTTCTCTGGAAATATAGCCTTTTCTCATCACTACATATCACAATATAATTCTAGAAGCTACATGAATGAGTACTCAGAGAAGAGTAGGCTGGGAACAGAGATGTGGATAATTAATTCTGCAGAAGGCTTGGAAATGGTTGGACAGGAAAAGCTTCAGAAAGAGGGTCACTTTTCATGTCTTAAATGTTTATGTCTACTGTTAAATTTTTTGGATGAGAAACAATTTATACATGATCAACAATGAAAAGCAGATTGCAATTTTTTTAAACCTATCAAATTGAACTCAGGTTAAGTCTAGTAATAAAAACCTTCTACCTTCCAACTTCTCTCTCTCTCTGAATTATTTAAGAAATCATAATAACAAATCTAAGAACACTTTTTTTTTTTTTTTTTACTTCGTCCACAAAACAGCTATGAGAGAAGCTTACTGGCTCAACATGTTGTTTCTTGGGAAACAAGACTCTTGGGAGGTGCAAAGAATGAATCCTTGGTTACGTATTTATTGAATCTTCCCACGAGAAGCTTCTGAAGTGAGTAACAGGGCTAACTTTAAGGTCTGGGCCAGGTTGATACAAAAAGGAATAGTTTAACTAAACTTTCAGTAGCCAAACTAAACTTTAACAAGTTTGTTGTCACACTCTCAACAACTACAGATATGACCTTACTAAACCTACTTTGACCATTTCTTTTATTTCATAGATGCTGATTTATTCAATTTAAAACAGATTACTTATTCTAGATGACAATTTTTTAAAAATTTATTTTATTTTTGTGGTACTGGAGTTTGAATTCAGGGTTGCACACTTGCTAGTCATGTGCTCTACTACTTGAAGCTACATCCCCAGCCCTTTTTTGCTTAAGCTATTTTCCAGATAGGATCATGCATTTTTGCCTGAGCTGGCCTTGTACCGCGATCCTCTTCCCTACATCTCCTGAATATCTGGGATTACAGCTATCTACCACCCTGCCCACTTTGCTTGTTGTGATGGGCCTCATTAGCTTTCTGCCTGGGCTGGCCTTGAGCCTACCAACCTCTGCCTCCTAATACCTGGGATTACAGATAGGTGCCACTATGCAACTGATAATTTGATTTTTAATTATTTGCTAATTGATGGAAGAAATTTTGTTTTCTTGCAGTAGTGGAGACGGAACCCAAGGCCTTGTGCATTCTAGCCAAGTGCTCTACCACTGAGCTACATCCCCAGTCCTAGATGGAAGAGATTTGGAAAATTCATTTCCTTAATGGACTTAGATAAAAAATGCACATTAAACTGTAGCCATCCAGGAGGCCTTAATTTAAAGCTATTTCCCCTAGAAATTATGCAGCACAACAATTTATATAGTAGTACAAAGGCACAATTTCTGTCTTCACTAGCTTGTGAGTTTCTTTTAAACCACACTGTAGTCAGGTAAAAGCTTGATTACATATGTATACTTACAAAGTCATATGAAGTGGTTATTTTCCCTGTGATTAGAAATAACAGCTACTTAACCTATTTCTTTCAGAATATCTAATTTTGATGTTTCTGAGTAATCACATTTACAACATTCATGAGTTTCTAGTTTAAAATAATTAGAACACAAAAATGCCCTTAGCTAGAAAATGATATTATGCCATGTATATAAATCTGTATCTCTGAAACTCTCTTCCTAGGCAACATACAATAAATGTATAGTGAGGAGAATAATATTCTTCCAATAATACTGATCATAATTTAGGATCTTAAAAATAATTTGTGGCCCAATACTCAGTCAAAAGAACAATGCAGGAGGTATCACAATACCTGACTTCAAACTATATTACAAAGCAATAACAATAAAAACAGCATGGTACTGGCACAAAAACAGACATGAAGACCAGTGGAACAGAATAGAGGATCCAGATATGAAGCCACACAACTATGAGCAACTTATCTTTGACAAAGGAGCTAAAAATATACGATGGAGAAATAGCAGCCTCTTCAACAAAAACTGCTGGGAAAACTGGTTAGCAGTCTGCAAAAAACTGAAACTAGATCCATGTATATCACCCTATACCAAGATTAACTCAAAATGGATCAAGGATCTTAATATCAGACCCCAAACTCTAAAGTTGATACAGGAAAGAGTAGGAAATACTCTGGAGTTAGTAGGTATAGGTAAGAACTTTCTCAACGGAATCCCAGCAGCACAGCAACTAAGAGATAGCATAGATAAATGGGACTTCATAAAACTAAAAAGCTTCTGTTCATCAAAAGAAATGGTCTCTAAACTGAAGCGAACACCCACAGAGTGGGAGAAAATATTTGCCAGCTACACATCAAACAAAGGACTGATAACCAGAATATATAGGGAACTTAAAAAACTAAATTCTCCCAAAACTAATGAACCAATAAAGAAATGGGCAAGTGAACTAAACAGAACTTTCTCAAAAGAAGAAATTCAAATGGCCAAAAACACATGAAAAAATGCTCACAATCTCTAGCAATAAAGGAAATGCAAATTAAAACCACATTAAGATTCCACCTCACCCCTGTTAGAATAGCCATCATTAGCAACACCATCACCAACAGATGTTGTCGAGGATGGGGGGGAAAAAGGAACCCTCTTACAGTGTTGGTGGGAATGTAAACTAGTACAACCACTCTGGAAAAAAATTAGGAGGCTACTTAAAAAGCTAAGCATTGATCTACCATTTGATCCAGCAGTACCACTCCTGGGGATATACCCAAAAGACTGTTACTCCAGAGGCACCTGCACATCCATGTTTATTGCGGCACTATTCACAATAGCCAAGTTATGGAAACAGCCAAGATGTCCCAGCACTGACGAATGGATTAAGAAAATGTGGTATCTATACACAATGGAATTTTATGCAGCCATGAAGAAGAACGAAATGTTATCATTCGCTGGTAAATGGATGGAATTGGAGAACATCATTCTGAGTGAGGTTAGCCTGGCTCAAAAGACCAAAAATCGTATGTTCTCCCTCATATGTGGACATTAGATCAAGGGCAAACACAACAAGGGGATTGGACTATGAGCACATGATAAAAGCGAGAGCACACAAGGGAGGGGTGAGGATAGGTAAGACACCTAAAAAACTAGCTAGCATTTGTTGCCCTTAACGCAGAGAAACTAAAGCAGATACCTTAAAGCAACTGAGGCCAACAGGAAAAGGGGACCAGAAACTAGAGAAAAGGTTAGATCAAAAAGAATTAACCTAGAAGGTAACACCCACACACAGGAAATCAATGTGAGTCAATGCCCTGTATAGCTATCCTTATCTCAACCAGCAAAACCCCTTGTTCCTTCCTATTATTGCTTATACTCTCTCTACAACAAAATTAGAGATAAGGGCAAAATAGTTTCTGCTGGGTATTGAGGGGGGGAGCGGGAGGGGGTGGAGTGGGTGGTAAGGGAGGGGTTGGTGGCAGGGGGGAGAAATGAACCAAGCCTTGTATGCACATATGAATAATAAAAGAAAAATGAAAAAAAAAAAAATTTGTGGCCAGTCAAAATAGAATAGAATATGGCTAGTTATATTCTATAAGCATTTATTATAATTCTTAATAATTAAGTTTAAATCTTTATCATTTTATTAACCTTACTTACGTTTAAGCCAATGAAGAAGTGAAAGTAAAAAGAAGAATTTTACAGATGCTAGGCCACTGGCCTCAAAAATCAAAAAGTTAGAATTCTAAATTAGTACAAGTCCTCACTTCATGTTCATTATATGCTTTATAATTGCAGATGAGGACACACCCAAAGATGTCTACATTCTTCCTTAGAAAATTCCTTCCCACTTCTTTAAGTACTTATTTTCTTATCAAGAGTTAGTGCTCTGTATAAACATGATACCTTAGAGAGCTTTGCAAATGTGGAATACTTTTTTCCAAAGACCTTAAAAGGAGGGTGCCAGATGGGGATATCAGGGATAGTTTTAATATACTGGAGGTCTTTCAGGTAAGCCTGCTAAAATTGATAAGATATATAAGTGGCTTTCAAAGTGTAGCCCCTGGACCAACTACATCAACCTTAGCTGGGAACTCATTAAGATATACAAATTCTTGAGGATCAGGGTCTTGGGGAAGGGGTGGCAGGCACTATGTCTGGCCACGGAAGTGGCAAGAAGAAGCCCCTGAAACAGCCCAAGAAGCAGGCCAAAGAGATAGATGAGGAAGATAAGGCTTTCAAGCAGAAACAAAAAGAGGAGCAGAAGAAACTTGAGGAGCTAAAAACGAAGGCCACGGAGAAGGGCCCCCTGGCCACAGGTGGAATTAAGAAATCTGGCAAGAAGTAAGTTGTTCCTTGTGCCTGAGATGATGGTGACCCTTATTCCATTCCTATTTAAACATCTGGATTCCCTGCATAACATCTTTTGCCACCTATAGCCAGAATGAAGTGTTGCATTAAGAGTCTGTTGTACATTTAAGAATAAACAACTTTTAGCTGGGCGATGGTGGCTCACGCCTGTAATCCTAGCTACTCAGGAGGCAGAAGAGGATTGCGGTTCGAAGCCAGGCCCAGGCAATTAATTCTGTGAGACCTTATCTCGAAAAACCCTAACACAAAAAAGGGCTGGTGGAGTGGCTCAAGGTGTAGGTCCTGAGTTCAAACCCCAGTACCGCAAAAAAAAAAAAAAAAAAAAAAACCTTATTAAAAAAAATCGTAATTCAGTGGCTCATTGTGTCTAGTGTGTCAGAATTTGTACCTCAGCTGTGAATTTAAAATAAACCCAGCCTAGAATCCTGCCAACAACAACAAAAAAAGAAAGATATACAAACTCTCAGGCCGGACTTGAGATCCTAAATGAGAAATATGAGTCCATACTTAAACAAGCCCCAGGAGATTCTAATGTACATTCATGGTTGAGAACCATTAAGTCATATCACCCATGATCACTGCAGCTCTAATTCTTTAGTAACAGAGGAGGCAGGCTTTTATTTTATCACAGTTATGACAATAAAGCAAAAAAACAAAAACAAAAACAAAACCCAAGGTCAGGAGAGAAGGGCCAGGTACTATCATAAAGGGGAAAATTAAATCATTCAGCCAAAAGACAAAAAAAAGGGTATTTCTTTCGGAGGGAGGTTAGTGCTGGGGATCAAACCCAGAGCCTTGCACAGGCTTAGTAAGCACTCTACCACTAAGCTACACCTCCAGCCCAAAATTAGAATTTTTATCAAAACTTTAGCCCTATCTCTATTGCTATGTATTGTGCTCAGCAATGAGGCTATAATACAAACCTTAACCATGAGACTCTTGGCACAAGACAGCCTGAAAAATAATTATCAAACAATGTCACGCAAACTACGAGAGGAGTACAGAACACATTACAAGGACAGAAATGAAGATTATTAATTCTGCAGAAGAACTGGGTTGGACAGACTGGAAAAACTTTAGAAACGGGGTGACTGAACTGAACCTTTAGGAAGCAGTGTCTGGGAATACCCAGCAAGCCCCAGACCACTCCTTTTTAAAAGATTCCCACTAGACCAGTGGTGTAAAATGCAAGTGAACATTATGAAATGGATTCACAAAATAAGCCTCAAATACCCACTTAATTCCCAGCACTGCATGGGCTTTCTTGTGGATACCAATAGTATAAGAGATGGCCCTGCTTTTAAGAAATTAAACCACTAATAAAAAATTTGGATGATCCAAAATTTAGGTGAAACTAAGCCAATTATAACCATTCTTCATATTTTGTTAGACAAAGACTAAACCACAATTAAGTCAACTTGTTCCTAAGTCTAGTTTCCTCTCAAGACTGAAATTTTCACAAGGTTTACAAAAACTGGAGACATCTACCAGACTTTCATTAAAAAGAGGTATTTAGCTGGCGGAGTGGCTTGAGTGGTAAGAGTGCCAGCCTAGCAAGTATGAGGCCCTGAGTTCAAACCCCAGTGATACCAAAAAAAGAAGGGTATTTAAATTTCTCTTTCCTTCTTTTGTTTAATTTAAAAAGAAATAAATTATTTATAAAGTCTAGGCTGGAAGGAAGATATTACAATGAGTTAAAATTTATTGTGCTTCTAAAATCAATCTGATCAAATTCAACGAAATAACCAAATTTTGCAATCAGTTTTTCCTCTATATTCATGTTGGTTCCACTAAACTAGCATTACTGTAACCAAACATGACTAAACTCCTCCCCACCACCCCAATCTCCCAGCGCTGAGGATCAAACTCAGGGCTTCCTGGTTGCTAGGCAAGCACTCTACCACTGAGCTATACTTAGCTCTACTAACCTTTTATTTTTTTTGGAAGGTAGAGAAAAAAACTACAAAAGCTAGTATTCATAGTTTGCTAAAAGGTTTATTTTAAGGAAGACTACTTGCTAAGTCCCCACAAATCTAGTTCTCATTTGACTAAGAGGTCTTATTTCTAACAAATAAACAAAAACCTGAGTTGACTTAATAGCCAGAAGATAATGTGAACAACACACTTAAAGATTCCTCTCATTAATCACATTGTTTGAACCACTTTCTTAATGACTGCTCAAGTTCAGCCTGAGCTACAGGTACATTTGCTTTATCTGTACAACCAATGATGTGTCTTTGAGGTTAATGTCAATAGAGAAATTAATTTCTCTATGCAAGAAGCTGTTCAGCATTTTAACTGTATAGATTCTTTATTGCAAAGTTTCATTCCAAGCAAAAGCAAACCAAGAATATGACTGGGATTTTAAAAACAACAATAAAACTGAGGATGACCCATTCTTGTCATTTTATGCTCCAAGATAGCCAATCAACTGTAAATGGATTCACGGTAAGCCATTCTTCTCCATTCTAGCTCAAGATAGAGAACATTAAACGACAGTGTCCCTTGAAATGGAACCCAATACTGATGGTTGATGAAAATAAAACTCTTTGTGTTTTTGCTTACCCAGTCTATGACTCAAAAAGACAAAGAAGAGACTAATCAATAGTCAAGTGAAATATCAGTTTAGTCAGATGTAACCAGATTGTTGGGTGACATATTTTGAACTCACATTAAAAACTCTACCTGGGATGATCTAATGCAAATGTTATGGCATAATATGAACACCAAAATAAAGTAAAAAATGATGACACAAAAACTTGCACATGAATGTCCATAGCTGCATTCTTCATAATAGCCCAAAAAATGGAAACAATCAACTGAAAGAATAAAACAAAATGGGGCATATTCATGCAATGCAATATTATTTGGCAATAAAAAGGAATGTAATTCAGAGACAGAAAGGAGGTTAGTAGTTACTTATGGATGGCAGGGCATAAGGGGGAATCTGGAGAACAGGGAGTAACTGTGAATGGGTATGGGATTTCTTTTGGGATAATGGAAATGTTCTAAAACTAGACTGTGGTGACAGATGCACAATTCTGTAAATATACTAAAAAACCACTGACATGTACACTTTAAAGTGGCTGATTTTTATGGTAAGTGAAAAATAATCTCAATAAAATTATTTAAAAGAAAAAAGGGTGAGGCTGGAAGGTTGGCTTAATTGGTAGAGCATTTGCTTAGCAAGCATGAGGCCCTGAGTTCAAACCCCAGTGTCTCCCCCTTCCCTCCAAAAAAGGGTAGTGTGTAGAGTTCAGCAAAAATTAAATGCAGGGTTCAAGTCAAAACCTTGATAAAGAGACTTCATTCACGTAGGAAAGATCCATGGTGAAAAAAGCCGTATCTCTCCCCTGAAAACACAGCCACCCAGTTCTTCCCTCCATCCTAAAGCACAAAGGAAATTCACTCTTTTCTTTTCACTAAATAATTGAAAATCTAACCAATCACTGTCCTTGATGAAAAAAAGAAAAACAACAACAACAAAAGCCTTGGGTAATTGGGACATTTCTGCCATATACTCTAAAGAATATATTTGATAAATTCACTTCTGTTTAAATTCAACTAACATCTTAATTTGTACTTATAATGTACTATTTTAGAAAACAAAGGCACTGTACTTAGGACTAGATATTCATCCTAGGAAGTCAGGATGCAATTAGATTTAATGTAAGTAGATTAGATTAATGCAAATGCACTAAATATAAAAACATTTTTAAAATGCTGTATGTTCAAACATATCAAAAATCCATGAAATGAAAGATTACGGTTGCTATGAAATTTAAGTAATCCTTACTACAGCAAATAATTGGTTAAATGTAATAACAGAACCAGCAACCCTAACTCATTAAAAACAGTATAGATGAGTTCATTTATACAAAAAGTATTTAGTTGTGGATGTTCTACATATTCATTATTGTGCCACACTTTAAAGATACTAAGAGAAATAATATTGACAGCTTTTTAAAAATTGGTTCACTTAATGTGTATTTATTTATCCATAAATAAAAGTCCTTGAGAATTGAACCCAAGGCCTCAAGCCTACCAGACTTGAACTATATACCTTCAGCCCTCAAATGTGTATTTATTGAACATAACTTAATTTAGGATTAGGAATCTAAATCTTTTTGCATTCAAGGGTTTTTGTTCTTGTTTTGAGACAGGGTCTCTATGTAGCCCTAGCTGGCCTCCAACTTGCAAGCCTACTGCCTCCGCCTCCCAGTGCTGGGATTACAGGCTTGAGCCATCACTACCAGATGAATTTACAGTTTAAAGAAATTAAAATATTCAGAGCTGGGGCTGTGGTTCAAGTGGTAGAGCTCCGGCCCAACAAACTCAAAGCTCTGAGTTCAAACCCCAGTACTATCAAATTTATTTATTTTACCATCTTTGTTCATGTCCATCAATAACCATGAAAAAGTACTGTGAATATTGGTTTGGGGATAATAAGTAGATTTTATCAAGTAAGTGAATTTGCAAATATAGAATCCATCAGTAAGGATGAACTATATATGTATTGCAGATATTTTATCCAGGCTGTGATTTGTATTTTCATTTTCTTAACAGTGTCTTCTGAAGAGAAGTTTTAATTTTTGATAAAGTTCAATTTATTATGTTTTTCTTTTATGCTTTGTGCTATCTGAATTACCCAAGAAGTTTGTGGCTATCCCAAGGATACTAAGTTTTCTATTAGAAGTCTTATAAAACTTTCAGCTTTTACATTTACAGCCATTACTTAGTTTGAGTTAATTTTTTATGTTGCTATATAAGGATCAGTTTCCTTTCTTCCCCCAGATATTCATTTGTTCCAGCATTATCCACTGAAAAGAACAGAGTATCCTTGAATTATTTTTATCATTTTTTCAAAAAAAGCAATTTACTGGGTTTATTTCTCGACTCCTTATTTTGTTTCATTCATCTGTAAGCCTCTCTTTATGTCAAAATCACACTGTCTCAGTAAGTGTGACTTTTACAGTAAGTCTTGAAATCAGATCATATAAATCCTCCAACATTCTTGTTCTTTTCACATATTGTTCTAGTTATTAGGTACTCAGCATTTCCACACAAACTTTAGGCTCATTCAGTTTTCAATTTCTCGAGAAAGTCTGCAAGGATTTTGATTGGAAT